ATTTTGCTGCTAATAGCCTAATACACTAAAAGCTTATTGTTTCCCACACTAATGCCAGGGCATTTGAGAAGTCATTGATAAAGAAATTGTAAGTTGAGCAATGGTCTTGAAGAATGAAATTCTTGCATCAGGTGAGTTTGTGCTTTACTGTTTCAGGTTCAGAGTATTTTAGTATGTGAGTGAAACTTTGTACCATACTTGAATGGCCTCTTTTTTATTTAGAGAGGTAACTGATAACCCTATCCTGATCATGTAAAGCCATTTTTTTTCAAACACTATGGACCGAAAGTATGTCTCAATGAATTTTGATTAAAGGATATATATGCATGTTTTGCTTTGGGTTGTGGGGAGAATGTTTCTCTCTTTTCTTTTTCCTTCTTTTTATACACTGCTCAATCCTCTATTATGTATTGTTTTGGTAGTATGCCTGTGCAGCTACAGTGGAAAGGTGTGATCTAATGATGCATCTGATTAGATGTGACATTAGGCTAAAGAATGTTTTGGCACTATGCCAATGCTTACTACGCCTAGCTGTAAATCAAGATTTGTTGCATAATGTGTTTTCGGAGAGCTTCTGCATATTTGCACTTTGGAAAAGCCAGAACACTGTTACTTTCAGGAAAAATAGCGAGCGTGCAAGCTTAATTAGAGATCATTAATCAAGGCCACCCACTACAATTAGGCTCTTTTAGATACTGACAAGGAAAGATGAGTTTTTCTTCTTACTGCAATATGGATTTGGGGTTTCGTGCCTGAAATTGTTAATGATAGTCCTGTTCTGCTCATGCTAACACATCAAAACACAAGGTGAATCATATATGTTATCTACCTAGCGGGATCTTACTAAAGTGAAGAAAATAGAAAATCAGTCTTATCTTGAATTCCTACATAGGTGATACATGTTGAATTTTTTAGTTCAGAGTTAGGGTATGCTCTATGTGTTAGCAAGCAATTATTTTTTGAGGTCAGTCTTATTGCCAAGTGATGCCAGCATACCCTACCTCAGTAGTTTCAAGTAGAACGTGTGGGAGCTAAGTACCACATATATATAGACGTACTATTTTATAGCTGGCCGCAAAATAAATTATTCTGTGGACACTTTGAGTTACGATAATTACTATACTAATTTACGAGATTATGGTAACTCCCTCATAAGTGATTTACTATAGCATTATGGTAAGTATCATCTTGAATTATAGTAACCCATGTATCGTAAATGTGTATTGTCATTATCATAAATTGGTACAAACAAACATTATCGTAAATCAAGGTGGCCATAGAATAAGTTATTATGTGGCCAACTGCAGAATAGCCTTACCGTGTGTGTATGTATATATATATATATATATATATATATATATATATATATATATATATATATATATATATATATATATATATATATATATATATATATATATATATATATATATTCCATGAGATGCCTTGGTTTGCGGGCTTAGTGAGAGAAAATATGTTTCTTAACCTGTATCTGCATTTGTCCCAGGCCTTTTTTTTTCCTTGGAAGTCTTATAGAGAACTTTGATAGATTGGAAGCTTAACTTTCTTTGATACAATGCCATTTGCAGGTCAAACAAAATGGGATTATTCCTTAATGTAATTTAATTTTCGTTTTTTGGATTTTGTCCCATCTTTTTCTAACTTGTTGGAGTAACTGTCCCTGCAGATTTAATGTTTACTGAATATGAAAACATGGTCGATGAAATTTCTGTTTGATGGTACATGTGAGCCCATGGATTCAACTAATAATAAATGTACAATGGATTGGCTTGTGGGTTCAATAAGACGACCAGATGCATAAATAAGGAAATATTGGGATGATGAAAGTTCAAATTATTAATTATTTTTGAGTTTGTAAATGTATACCAATGTTGCTCAAAACACTATGTTTTTATGCTCATATCACATTGAATTTTTCCGGAACCTCTTCTCTCTGAATCCAGAGATTAAGGAAATTATTGACACTTGCTTTCCCATTTGTTAAATATTGTGTTGTTATCTGCGGTTTCACATACCAAATTTGTAGCGTGTGCTACATATAAATCATTCTGTTTTTAGTTGAGCTAAAAAAAATAGTTTGAGTATTTGTTTCTTTGTAAATGCAATTTTATCTTCTAGAAAATCTAATATTTTTCTGTTACGTAAGTTTAGTTTTTGCTTACAGACACACTCGCACATGTTTATCTTATCAATTCTTTTCTATATAACATATTTCAGCAACAAAATAATTTTCATATAAAGTCTACTATCCTACAATCTTAATTTTTTACTATAACTATAAAGTCACATGTTATAAACATAAACACGTGCATTCATGGGTGTGGATGTAGCATAGGTCATGGCTGTGAAGCAGGTATTTGTTGTGTGGCTATAGATTTATTCTAACTGGTGTATTATAGGGGGTAGATTTACATGGTGCTGCTTTCTTTTAAGATGTCAACATGGTTTGTCGCCGTAGCGTTAGCACGGGCAATATACTAGTATCTATTGAGTACACCATGTTGGCTGGGGTCATATAAGCATGTCTAACTCATTTGCTCTTATTGTCAAAAGCTTATATGAATTAAGCATGTTGAAAACCTCATCTCTTACACATACTCGAGCATACTCGAGGTTGTATTGTCATCAATCACCAAAAAGGGGGGGTTTGAAAGCATTTAGGCCCCTAGTTGGGTTTCGGTGATTAATTACAATACGAGATTACTATGACTAACGTGTGTTTTGCAGAGGCAATTAAGTTAGGTCATGATAATAACAATTGATTGGGCAATCATGGTTGTCATGTCCCTATAATGAAAATCATTTCGGTTTTCAAAGGATGGATGACAAGGTTAAGGATGGACTAATTCTAAGTGTCGTTTAGTGTTGAAGAGACATTTAGAGTAGTTTAGGACTTTGTTTTTTCTTTGGCCGTACTATTAAGGGAGGTATGGACTAGCAACTTGACCTAGGTGAGTCTAGTAGGTTAGGTGTGGTGCACACTTATCAAATCTAGCACTAGATAGTTCAGGAGTAGCTCTAAGATCAATTGAAGCAAACTTCATTCACGTATGATTTCGAGTTGGAAGTAAATGGAGGGTCAAATGACTGACCGGATGCTGGTCTGGTTGTGACCGGACGCTGAAGGGTGAGTCCGGTCAGTTCATTTGATCAACTAGAGCCGTCTGGTTGCGACCTGACGCTGAGTAAAAAGTGACCGCACGCTGGGTTCTTGTGTCCGGTCAACTCCAGAGAGGTTCTAGAGAGGGAGTTTCCTGATCGAACGCGTCCGGCCGATCTTGACGAGACGCCGGTCGTGATCCGATCATTGATCGGACGTTGAACAACGGCGGATCGGACTTTGGGTGCCAGACATCCGGTCAACATCGATGGTTTCAGAGAGCGAGTTTTGTGCCGACGGACGCAGTCGAGTCCGTCTGGTCACAACTTAATAGATCTGTGAGGGGGATAACTGACCAGGGCGTCCGGTCACCCCGCAGAGTGCTGACTCAACCTCTTAACGGTTTATTTTGAATGAGGGGATATAAATACTTCCTCTATTTATCCAAGGGAGGTCTCTTGCCTATTTATTCAACTGAGAAACACCTTTGAGAGTGCAAAGGAGAGCAAGAGCCTAGTGAAGTGATTAAAATTTGAGAATCCAAGATTAAGACCTTATTAGTACAAGGAGAGTAGCAAGTGTGCATCCACCTTTCTCATTAGACTTGTTGTGGTCAAGTGAGAGTTCATGCTTGTTACTCTTGGTGATCGCCATCACCTAAACGACTCGGTGATGATTGAAAGCTTGATGATCATGCGACAAAGCTTGTGGATGACCCAACTCAAGTTGTGAGTGATTGTGGACGATTTACTGCGACGAAGTGTCGAATAATCAACCCGTAAAGAGCACTTGATCCTTACGAGGATTAAGGAGGAGCTACACCCTTACGCGAGTGCTCCAACGAGGACTAGTGGAGAATAACGACTCTCCGATACATCGACAAAACATCGCCGTGTTCCTTCTCCTCTCTTTACTTTAAGCATTTACATTTATGCAATTCATTTCTTGTCTTTACATTCTTAGAATTACCATACTACAGTAGACTTAGAACATTAGGTGCAAAACTTTTATGCGGTAGAACAATAGAACACATTCTAAACACAAGGGGTGAAGTGGACTAAGCATAGGGTTTAATTATTGCAAAAAATTTTATAATTAGTCCAATTCACCTCCTACTGTGCATCTCAATCCTTTCACTTAAAAACCTACCATCAAGTCGTTATCTTGCGTCCAAACCGGAAGCTGAAATAATCAGGGCACGCATTAAGGCAACCAGATACCAAACAGTATGGAGTTCTTCTACCAGGTACACAGCAATTTTGGTTACATGATTCTCACGAGGCAGTGGCGCAGCCTCACGGGGGCACCACACACCAGTAGGCCCAGATAATCTCTCACTCGCAGTTGAGTCATCAACTCGCTCCAGATAAAAGGGAGCCGGTTTTGTAGAGTTCGTTTAAGCGACCAGAGTACGCGAATCGCGTGACTAATAAGGGGAGAAACGTCTCCCACAGAACATTCAGCGCCATCACCAAAAACAAGCTAGTGCGATGTCCGGTTAATTTTTATGTAGTAACAGTCCGACTGATTTTCACCCACCGAGTCCAAAGGCTGGGGCTCCAGCTAAGCCACCTGTAAAAATTAAAAGAGCCAAACGTGAAGCAACTATAACAAAAAAAAATAGTGCCTATATGCATTTAGTTCCAGACTCTGCAGTGGCAAATCGATGAAACGACAAGTGCATGGTCCTAGATCAGGGGCAAAAAGAGCAGTATGACAACATGAAGCATCATTGTGATTGACAGAAAAGGTTAATCCCAGCAAAATGCATTCTAAAAGCCAGCACTAGAACTCTGTTTTGTGCCAGCGAGCAAGTAAACTTGTAATGTCCAAAGATAATGACAATCCACCAGGAGAAATGACAGAAAATATATTACCATTACACTGCCATTTTCATCTCTATCTTCTGGTGAGGATCATAGCCAAACAGCTTGAAGTCTGATGCCATGAAAGAATCTATATCCTTTTTTGAAGGATTTATCTTCAAAATCTGCACATAAGGCCCCACATAGAACTTAGAAGGTGCATGGTCACAGAAAGTAAACAAAAATAAACATCAAATCATTAGTTTATATATGCAGATTTCATATTTTTGATAAAATAGTTCTATTAGGAGTGGCTCACTGGAAATGGTTTAGGCATCTTCTGAATTTGCTCCTCCAGAGCTCGAACATGAGTTCTATAGACATGAGCATCCCCTATAACATGGACAAAATCTCCAGGAGAAAGATCTTGCAAGATTAAGACACAAAGGGTTAAAGATAAGACACAAAGGGTTAGAGTTGAAAAACAGACTACTAGCTTCTGTCAGTTAGATACAAGAAACATCGAAAGAAACGAAGGGACAACATACAAAATGGCATCACAAATCCTTACAGCAAACAAACTATTCACAACTTGTTACAAAAATATCTAGAATATAGCCCCAAGACTTGTGTGTGTGGTATGACAAACATGGAAGATTTGTTGCTACACGTAAAAAAGAAAATCAAAGCGCGGAATAAATGGTTCCAAATGAAACTAGTCTAAACTAGAACACTGATATACAGTACAACCAATAAGGTTTGTATTAAGGTGCACAATAAACATTGCACTAAGTGGAAATATTACAGTAAGGCATATAAGAACCTACCACAAACTTGAGCGATCATGTATGTCAGAAGAGAATATGATGCAATGTTGAATGGAACACCAAGCCCCATGTCTGCAGAGCGTTGATACATCTGGCAGGACAGCTCCCCATTTTCCACGTAAAACTGGAAGGTGAGGTTGAATACAAATGTTGTTAGTTGACAAAATTATCAAAAATAAGATGCAAGCAATGTTAAAAACATTATTATCAAGGAACAAATTTCTTTTCACTAATCTACTGTAATTTAAAAGAAAAAAAAACTAATTTTCAACTTACAATGGATTAGTACAAGGGTGCACATCATGGACAAGTCAAAACAGGCCAATAGCCAACTCTAAGCTTAAATCAAGCTGACAAATAATACTAACTTGTGCAAACATGTGGCAAGGAGGAAGAGCCATCTTCTTGAGATCTGAAGGATTCCACGCCGACAAAATTATTCGGCGGTCATCAGGATTATTCTTGATCTTGTCAATCACATCCATTAGCTGATCAAAACCTTTTCCAGTATAGTCAGCATGCATGTCAGTGTATCTGTCAAATATGTCAACTTTATCAGAAAACATGAACACGAGAAAAAAGACTACGAGGAGAGGAGAGGAAAGGTATGTAAGCTTACTCAGCACCAAAGTGACGCCATTGAAATCCATACACTGGACCTAGATCACCTTCCTCCCTGTGTGCCAAGCCAACACTAGAAAAGATGGCGAAGTGGATTAGATATCAAGAATAGAGTATAATTTATCTGCAGTTTATATCCAATAGATAGATACCTGTCAAGATATTCTCTTGAAGCATTGCCATCCCAGATATGAATACCCTTCTCTTGCAAAACCTACAAATTGAAGGGCGTGTTTAGAAAACAGGACCTTTCAAGAAATAGTTTAATCCACTCAAGATTTGGGGAAGAATTCTGACATTTTTTTTTCTCGAACACTCAGGATAGCTGCACATCATTTCATTGAGGAAGAAAAGAGAGTGCATAGGGAAAATAATCCCCAAACAAAACACTAAACCGCAAGCGTGTGTGACCACACGCACGCACGTAAAGAATTCTGACATTTGAAAAGGACCTAAGTAAATAGTAATAGTTGCTTTCTGCCCCAAAAAAAAACCTAAAAAGGTTTGCATAGAACCGAACAGAAATGATACATGACCTGGGTACAAGTAATGTTGGAACTAACCCCTCAAAGAAAATGAGGGCAATCTGTTTCAAGTCCAATGGATAAGATTAAGGCATGTGAGTTGTGAATACACAGCATGATTAAAGACCCTCACAGCAGGTATCAACACAGCATGGTCTTTACGCATCAAGGCATGTGAGTTGTGAATACAGATTAAGGCAAGTACCTACAATAAATCAAAACATTGCCTAAAGACAGCACTAGACCAATTTTAATCCTGCACACCTTTGCATTTGTTGAGCCACTGATGAACCAAAGGAGTTCTTCGACAACACCACGCCAAAATACCCTCTGTTAAAGAGCACATGTTATTGCATTAGTCAAGAAATGGCAGCTAAATATATGGAAACATAGTTCTTCAAACTTTCTTTTGGACTTTGGATGGACTCTTGATGTTTAACAGATGGTGGCCTTATGGCTCTCTATTCACATGTTGAGGGGAATGTTTTACGGGTAAGCAGGTACGTATAAAAAAGAGTTACAGAGTGGTAGAATGTTTGAAAAGAATGTTGCACTGGATCTACATATCTGTGTCTAGATAACAATAAATGTAGCACACAAGAGCTTTATTAACACAATGAACTAGGATAAAATGTACTCATGGTCTCTATCGACGAAATATGGTCGGCAGTCTACCTAGGGGTATGCCCAAGGTAGTAGATTGTCGGCAGACAGGTGCGCAAGCTACGAACAAGATGATGACGTAAGACAGACACGAGGTTTTATTCAGGTTCGGCCACCGTGAGGGCGTAATACCTACGTCCTACGTCTGATTGTATTGTTGTATGCCAATGAGATGTCTTTTTTAGAGGGGTCCCCTGCCCGCCTTATATAGTCTGGGGGGCAGGGTTACAGATTTGGAAACTAATCCTAATCAGTTACAACTGCCATAGGTGGCCGGATAAGAATTCCTATTCTAACCGACCAGGATCTTGCTTGATCTCCAAATCTACCTTGATTCCTTGCGCGGGACTCCAAACAGATTGGCTGGACCGCGCGTCGTCTTCTAGTGAGCCAGATCCCCTAGTCCGGGCCAGCCCGAGCCTAGCCATAAGGGTATAGGGGTTAATACCCCCACAGCTAGTCCCCGAGCACCATGTATTATGCTGCGACACGCCGTTCGATCTCCTTCGACTAATGCGATCCGTCTTCATGTCATCTCCAACTGATTGAAACATTGTCCAACCGAATGTGCCAACATTCTAGTCAGAACAGAGAGCAGTAAACCACGATTATAGCCGAAAATTCCGATTGTCCGAAGAATGCATGGTGCTCTTAAAGAAAAAAGAAAAATATTTCTTTCCTTATCAAGTGTGCCCACTTGTATTTCTGAAAAGAAATGTAAGTGCCTCTTGGACAATAGTAATTCTGGCAATCAGTCAAAGCGTAGGGGTCGATAAGATAAACACATTCACCGCAAGGTGAAGTGTGCCCACTTAGTCCCCGAGTTTGGTAGTAGGTGACGTAGGCACGTGGTGCCAGGGTCTAAAAAGAATTCCCAGTTAAATTGAGAATTCAATCGTCGTACAGGCGATACAAGATGCACCGGCAGGTGTATCGTACCGATGTAGTCCCCGAGCTTGCTGGAAGGCGAGGTATGAGCCTTGTAGCAAGGTCCAAATAAATGCCTCTCGACTGTATATAAGCACAAATCACATGTAGCCGAGGAAAGCGATCTTCGAGCAGTGGTCAGAACAATCCCCGAGCACAGCAGTGATCGAAGCAGTCCCCGAGCACGGTAGTGGTCTGGACAGTCCCCGAGCACGGTAGTGGTCTGAACAGTCCCCGAGCACGGTAGTGGTCTGGGCAGTCCCCGAGCACGGTAGTGGTCTGAACCATCCCTGAGCACGAGACGTGCGGCGAAGAACCAAATGCCACTTGTACTATTATTTGACGTATTTATTTATCTTCTTACTCTGCCCAGTCCAATATGACACGTCTAGTCAAAAAAGTAGACAAGTACAACACGTCATACTACCTTCTTATCCTTTCAAGCAAACAATCACTTGGCGTCTGTAAGAAGGTGCGTCAATGTGGGCCCTCTCACACTGGTAATGAAGAGGCGCATACACTGATAACGAAGAGGCGCATATATTGGCATAGATCTCGAGGTTGTGAAAACAACCGTCTGCGGCGCGTGCGCACGCCTCCCAAGAATCTCGGGCAGACGAAACGACGGAACTCTTGGTTAAATATAGTATAGAATTGGGAAGTTACTTTTTACCGAACCCCATTACCATTCGCCGCCACAGCCTTCTTCTTCCTCTTGCCAACCTTAATACCTCCAAAATCATCACCAATCACTCCACCATATCCGCTTTCATCAGCAAGGCCGGATTCATGGCGAAAAATGACGCCCAGAAGAAAGCCGGAGTCATGGCAAAGGAGTGGTGGAAGTCAAGAAGCAACGAGCAGACCATCGAAGACCTCGTCATCATGGAAGTGATCCACAACAAGGAACTCGCAGGATGGCGCGCGCCGGAGGGCGAGGGGTACCCCGATCCACAACCAGGTGAGATTGTGGTTTTCGAAGATTTCTTCAAGCGGGGTTTTGGGGTTCCAGTGCACCCTTTCCTTCAGGGGCTCTGTCTGTATTACGAGATTGGGATTTGCAATCTGCATCCCAACTCGATTCTTCTTGTCTCCACCTTCATTCATCTTTGCGAAGCGTATGGCGGCTTCCAGCCCCATTTCGACTTCTTTCGCCATCTTTTCTGTCTGCGGAAGAAAGGAAGCGGCGGCTCAAAGATAGCCGGGGGTGTGTACCTCAACCTTCGCGACGGGATGAAGGCCCAGTACCTGCACTGCCCTTGGAACACGTCGCTTGACGACTGGTACAAGAAGTGGTTCTACATCCGCGAAGAGCCGAACACGATCACACTATGCGACGTGGGGTTCACACTATGGTCGGACAAGCCCGAGCACCTGGAACAGATCCCAGAACTGCTTGGGATGATCCCGTGGAAGAAACTGGACGGTCCGAGCGTGGTCGGGAACTTCATCAGCCGAAGGATCCAGCCCTGCCAGAGCAGGGTACATCCCGGCTACGAGTACCAAGGTAGCGCAGACCCAACGAGGACAAGGCAAGAGGCACTTGACAAGATTGAAGTCAGAGCCAGAATTGGAGAGCTATTTAACTTAGCTGATCCAAATTATGTCAGATTGAGCGACATCGAGCACGCTTTCAAGCTCGCCCAACCTCCCCCAAAGGTAAATCATCCTGCCTTGTACCCGTAGTTTTGTGTTGTAAGAGAAACTTACTCTGTTATCTCCTTTGTGTTTCCCAGATTAATGGTCGGGATAGAGCAACAGTGTTCGTGTCTCCACCCCCTGGTGTAGATTGGCCGCAAGTTGCCGGCCCAACCGCCCAGACCAGCGTCGGGATCGAAGACGTCAACTGGGCCATGCTCGGAGTTGGGGAGGAGGCAGCAGCCAAAGCTGCTGGCAAGCGGCCGGCGACCAGCAAGCGTCGTCAGGCGATCTTTACTCTGTCGGACGATGACACAGAGGATGCAGACATCTTTCGACTCGTCCCTCGAAAAAGGAGGAGGCCACTGGAGTCGACGGAGCAAGGTGGCTCCTCCGCGTGCGGTGGGACCCGCATTGCCGACCATCGCAAAGACGGAGGACAAAGCGGCGAAGGGGTCGAGCACCAAGTCCTAGCATCGATCTTTGGATGTAGAGGAGAGCGGTGTCACCCAAGACAAGATGTGGAGCAAGCACGGCCAAGAGACGTGCCTTTGCCACATCATTCCGCGCTTCCAACATGTAAGTATTTGTAACTTTGATGTAAACTTGCAATTTTTATTGACTATGGTTGCCTTCTGAACTTATCTTGGATGTACTAGGTCGGCGTCCACCGAAAATCCGGATCAACTAGCCGGAGCAAGATGGCTCGGCGGCAATTGCAGAAAGACTATGCAACCGCCGTCCACGGAGAGGTACCCATAGCGTAAAAACCATCGTAGCCTCAAATTTCACCAAAGCGGTCGGACAACCGCCCCCCGCAGCGGGGTCGAGAGAAGAGCCGAGCCAAACATAAATGCTCCGAGCACTAACCTCATGGGGGGCGATACCTCAAAGACACCAAGGGTAACGGGTCGCACCGAGGAGCAAATAACGGAGGCGAGAGCACGAGCACGCTTTGTCGATCCGCATCCCGTGGGAAAGCCATAGTGATCGCAGAAGTCGCTAACTCCGGACCAAGACCGATACCAAGAAGAGGCCAAGAGGACGAGGTAGAAGAGGTCTGGGCCGTCCACAGTGATGACGTCAACATGTATATGTATCGCACAAGCGAACGACCAATGGGTTATTCATGAAGAAATCCCAGAGGTCGAAGAGACCATGAAAGTTGAACGGCAAATGGCGATCGGTGACGGAAGTCCGGTATGCTTTGCTCGACCACTTCGATCTTGCCATCTAGTCATCTTGTCTTACTTAGCCTTTTGCACGCAGGACTTAATGAAGACCGCAAGGTATCGTAAGAAATGCTTCACCAGATTGAGGGGATCACAAAGAAGCAATAAAGAATCGACGGCCGAAGTGGAACGCTCGCGCCACCAACTTGAAGCCGCCAACCATCAAAGGATTGAAGCAAGAGTCCCAGAACCAAAACCTGGTCGTCCAGCTCAGTAACAAAGAGCAGGAATTAACAAGTAGTCACTTCATCACAACGAGTGCATGACAAGTGTTGTATTGCTGGTAGTAATAGCTGTAGTGCAGGCTAAGAAGCCGAGGTGGTCCGTCTCCGAAAGGAGAATAGTCGTGCGGTCGTAGAGTGTGATCGCCTGAAGGAGGACAACAGGAAACGGCGCACAACCGATCCGCAGCTCGGGACCACACGACCAAAATGAAAGAGGAACTGAAAAGTAAGTGTTCCAGACCCTTTTGCTCACTGTTGTTGCCCGCCTTATCTTGTCGTGGTACGACGTTTTAATGTCTTGTGCGATTTGCAGTTTTAAAAGTCAATGCCAAGAAGCATCTGGAGGTCGTGATAAAAGATCGTGACGGCTGGAAGGCGCGGTGCCAAGAGATCTCCGAGGATCGGGACACGTGGAAAAACCGGTGCCAGGAAGTGGCAACGAGCATTCTGCCGGTCCTCAACCTTATCGATCCTGCGCTTACAGAGGACGTGCCAAGGACGCCATAGCTCGGACTGGTCGATAGATGCCGAAAGGCATGGGGATGGTTCCAAGAGTTCGTGAAGGAGGCGGGTGAGTACACATGCGCACATGTGCTAAGCATGGTGCGTGCTCACTACCCCTTGATCGATCTCAAACGCCTGGAGG